CACAGATAGGCAGGAGGGGCAGAAGGAAAGAGTACAATACGTATTGTCCCACTATTAGAATTTTCGTTAACTGGCTTTTATAACTGGATGAACTGTTTTGTGTGTGGGTCAGCAAGAATCAGCAGATAGTGGAATAGCACCAGGCTCTTTGTGCATGTGTCCAGGTACTGCATTGCACAGTAAGGTTGATATCACATTTACCTTCTTATCACCCTTCGCTCTCCCTTCCATCCTCTTGGTATGAGGCAGACATGAGAAAAACATGGCTGCTCTCAAAAGCCTACAAACAAGTGGCTCTGATGTTAGGCATCCACCTCAGATGGTTAGAAGCCTGTTGAAACACATCTCTGAAGGGAAATCTCATTCCCTTACTAGAAATGGAAATGTGGCCAGCTGAGGGGGTATTGCCGTCTTTTCTCTTACCTGCCATAGAGGCCTGACAAATGTTTAATCCAAGTATGTGTTTTGTGTTCCAGGTATTGGCAACTAGGGGGGAAAAAACCACCACACTCACTCCGGGGGCCTCAATTGTCCAACAATAGCACGTTTGTCTTGAGAGCTATTTGCAGTATCTGCTCCTGCAGAGAATGATCAATTTCCCAAACCTTTGCTGCTTCTAATGCAGCACACAAGATAGATGGAGTGCTGAATGTACTATTCTAGGGTAATCTCTACAGTATTGAATGGTGGTTATCATTGGTTGGCTCTTTGGAGAATTTATGCTAGGTTTTTTATAGTTGTTAAAAGAATTCAAGTAGATTTAGAACTCTCCCATCATAATTGTCTCTAATAGCAATTTAGTGACTTCAGCCAATCAGATTTTCTTTGCAGCCTTATTGCTGCCATCACTCATATCCCATTACTTCCCTCTGTTGCTAATTGGTAGATTAACCAATTAAAGTGCTGCCATAAAAGCTACCTTTAAGTTTTAGATCCAATTTTCTACTTGCCTGTTACAGACCCTAACAAAAATGAAAAAGCCTTGGTTCCAGGGAATCCCATATCACTATGGGAATATTGAGAAATCTAAACCCTCCCTCACGCAAAGGGCTGATAATGATCCAAGTAATCAATAAGGTAGCTCAGTGTCCTGCCCTACATTTCAGCAGGTGAGGTTTTTGTTAAAAATCACACATGCTGTGGGTCTCCATAGGCTACGTGATCAAAGCTTATTGTGGGGGTTCTTAGGGAATATAAATAAGAAATGGTAAGTTATTTACTTGTAGGTGTATCATTCACTATAAATACTGCAGGGTTATGTGTTAGCCTAGTTATGATCATCAAAAATGCCATCCGGCCAATTTACCAGTCTGAAGTAATCAAAACTGCCACTAACTTAAAACAATATCAAGACAAGCTTCCTTCCATAAAATGAAAGAAGCAAACTACCAGCAAACCCCTGTTCTCCTCCAAACACCAGGGTTGCCAGAGCTTTAGACCTTCCCATGTAGCATGGATGCAAGCCAATCTGGTTTGTCTTGGTTCATGATTTCTCAAGACACATTATTTTTGTGGGCCCACAACTTCTCACTGTAAGGACTTCTGACAATTTGCTGATGTGTGCATTTTTATCTTGGATGCTTGTCTTTCTGCAGCCACGTCAGGAAGAGCTAAACACTTTGTTTTGTCACACAGGGAAAAGCTGGACTGCAAAGTTCTGGAATATTAGTCACAGCCTGGCTTGTTCTTCTCTTTTATGAACATACTTTCTGCCAAGCCCATTACATGGAAATGTGGTTTTAAAAAGATGTAGCTGTACTAAGGAGCAAATTCTGAGCTCAGTCACGCCAGGGGAAATCCACAAAGTTATTATGGATTTGTCCTGGCAGGACTTAGATCAGAATCTGGCCACTTGGGTAGAACGTAAAGGTCAAAGGAGCACAAACATTTTTTTTAAAAGTGTGGTTAAGTACACACAGAATTGAATTTTTCTGTCTCTGGAAGGGGCTCCCTGCTTGCACAGTTGAGCTTTGCCCTTTCCCCGCTGACCTGTATCTGGTACTTTAAGCAATTCTTTTTTATGGGACATCATATTTCCTTCCGTAACAAGCAATAGCGGGAGTTCATTAAAAATGATTTCACTGCAAAACCAAGCAGGAATAAAGGGAATCAAAGAGGGTATTTCTGTCCCTGTTGAGACAATATAACTTTTTCATCAAGGCCTGGGATATCTGTCATGACCCCTATGGGTCATCAGCATGAAACTGAGGACCTTAACCACTGGAACTGTGCGCTCCAACCATTTGAGCTGAAGAAGTAACTTGATTAGCTGTAGCAACAGTAGGCACTTAGTCTCAAACACTAGAGTGGGGCAACATAGCACATAAAATGGTGGGGGAGGAGGTTACACTTCCATCATATCCTAAAACCTCAGTCACACTAGGTACTCTCTCACATCCACTTCCACTCATTCCACAGTTCTCCTAATCCCTAGAGCCCACATCTGGTGGGGACTTGTCCGTGCTGTGCATGTATAGCGCCTTTAGACAGGATGGAAATGGGATCCATGGAGAATGTTGTGGCATTTTCAGTTCTTGACTGTTCATTAAGAGACCCAGACCCCAAAGTGTTAGGACCTGTTTTTTCAATGAGGCTTAACCGGACCTTTTCTAATGTGTGTGTAGCTTTGTATACCAGCACTCATAATTTTCGTGCACTGAGTGCAGGTGAAAAAGTCCATCAACTAGGTCCTGATCACTGAAAGCATATTGGAAGGGACTTCAGGAGGTCACTTAGTTCAACCCCATGCACCATGGCAGAGTCAAGGATAGCTGGACTATAACTGAATGGTGCTTATCTAACCTGTTCTTTAAAATCTCCAATAATGGGGATTCCACACCTGCCCTTTGAAGTATATTCCATACAGAACTATCCCTATAGTTAGAAAGTTTTTTTCTAATATTGAACTTAAATTTCCTGCACTGCAGATTAAGCCCATTATTGCTTGTCCCACATTTAGTGGACAAGGAAATGAAGGGCTGTTACAAAGGGGACCTTCGTCAATTAATATATTTGAAGGCTTTTTTTCAGGGCCTCTCCCTTAGTCTCCTTTTCCCAAGACTGAACAGTTCTAGTTTTTTTAACCTTTGCTCATAGGTTGGGTTTTCCAAATCTTTTATCATTTTTGTTGCTCTCCTCTGGACACTCTCCAGTTTATCCACACCTTTTTTTTAAGCTGCCACCCAAGATTGCACACAGTACTCCTGCTGAGACCTCATCAGTGCAAAGTAGAATGTGTCTTGCATCAGTCTTACATCAGTATCATAGGGTATGTCTACACTACCACCCTAGTTCGAACTAGGGTGGTTAATGTAGGCAACAGAAGTTGCAAATGAAGCCCGGGATTTGAATTTCCCGGGCTTCATTTGCATATTGCCGGGCGCCGCCATTTTTAAATGTCCACTAGTTCGGACTCCATGCCCACGGCTACACGCGGCACGGACTAGGTAGTTTGGATTAGGCTTCCTATTCTGAACTACTGGTACACCTCGTGATACAGGTCAGCGTGGAACGAGGTTTACCGGTAGTTCGGAATAGGAAGCCTAATCCGAACTACCTAGTCCGTGCCGCGTGTAGCCACGGGCATGGAGTCCGAACTAGAGGACATTTAAAAATGGCGGCGCCCGGCAATATGCAAATGAAGCCCGGGAAATTCAAATCCCGGGCTTCATTTGCAACTTCGGTTGCCTACATTAACCATCCTAGTTCGAACTAGGGTGGTAGTGTAGACATACCCATATAGAGCTACTGCATAGCCAGTTATTCCCCATTTTATATTTGCGCATTTGATTTTCTCTTCTAAATGAGGTGTAATACGTTGCACTTGTCATTACTGTAACATCATCTTGAAGTGAGTGAGCGTCTTTTTATTGACTTAGTGGACTGTGCATCAGGTTGCCCATGAGTGCAGGTTCTGTTTATGTGGTCAGACACCACATGGTCAGAGGAGCTTGTGCATGAAAACTCTTTGAGGTTTAACTGTTAATTCGAAATAAGGGGTTTATGTCGGAATCACGCTTCTCTGCCGCGTGTAGACGCGGGCAGTTATTCCGAGCTAGTCAGTTTCCAAAATGGCGACCGCTTGAGAACATGCTAATGAAGCACAGGATATTTAAATCCCGCGCTTCATTTGCAATTTCGGTCACCGTCATTAGCTTCCCTAGTTCGAACTAGGGGGCTAGTATAGATGTACCCTGGCTTGTTTACACATGGGGTAATAAACTTAAGTCCTCTGCACGGAGGCCATAGTGCACCGGATGGTGCTAAACTCTGTGCACAGGTGACAGCTCTATTTTGAATTATTAATTTCTACCTCTCTTATCTGTTGTTACACTCTTAAAATGAATATCTTCAAACAGCATCTTAAGATCAACTCCATAAATAATCCTTTTGTGCTAACAGTTTGGGTATGTCTACACTACCCCGCTAGTTCGAACTAGCGGGGTAATGTATGCATACCAAACTTGCTAATGAAGCCCGGGATTTGAATTTCCCGGGCTTCATTTGCATATTGCCGGGCGCCGCCATTTTTAAATGTCCTCTAGTTCGGACTCCATGCCCGTGGCTACACGCGGCACGGACTAGGTAGTTCGGATTAGGCTTCCTATTCCGAACTACCGGTAAACCTCGTTCCACGCTGACCTGTATCACGAGGTGTACCAGTAGTTCAGAATAGGAAGCCTAATCCAAACTACCTAGTCCGTGCCGCGTGTAGCCGTGGGCATGGAGTCCGAACTAGTGGACATTTAAAAATGGCGGCGCCCGGCAATATGCAAATGAAGCCCGGGAAATTCAAATCCCGGGCTTCATTTGCAACTTCGTAGACATACCCTTTGGCAGTGTGATGGAAGTTTTAATTGCAGCTTGCCTCTGGTGAGCCCAGATTGGAATAGCACACCTCAGCACAACATTACGGGCATGGAGAACAAACATATTTTTAAATTGTTTAACTTAATGAATAACTCCTGAACGCATCCCCAAAAAACACTGTCCCCTCTTACCTTATTGTTTGCAAGATACAGGTAATTCAGATTCTCCAGCTGTTCAAATGCCTCCTCTGGAAGCCCTTCAAATGACAGGAATGATTTACAGTCAGCACCCTTTGTGAATGAGAATGCTAGAGGAGCTTTTTTGTCTCCCAAGGGATATCTATAATACAAGTTTTAAATATTTTTCAGAAACAACGTGACTCATGCTTTCGGTTGTTTCAAATTCATAAAAAGCGTTAGCTGAACAAAGTACATGTCTGACCTGTAGTAATGAGTGTGATGATCAGAACACATAAAACAGTGTACCAGAGTTAAGGTCACTTGCTATGGGACATATATTACTAACTGCAAGAGGATCCATGCTGCCTGGGAAGAATGGATTGAAACCAAATGTGGATTTTCTTCTCTCCCCCACACTGCTAAATCTTTAGAGGGTTGGGATTTTGGGGGGGGTTAATTTATTTTTATGAACGTGTAAAAAATTCTTCTCCATAAGGATATAGTATAAATCAAGGCATATTTGAAACTGGGGCTCAAGGATGTATCCACTGCAATTAATGGAAGAAATTTCATTAGTAACTGAACAGGGAATCAGACCAGGTCCTGAGTGTATTAAATAAAATTTTCTTTTTGCTGTGCATTATTGATGTACAATGACTCTGTGCTTCCAATGAAGCCCTCTGAAATAGGAGGCTGCTCCTATTATCCATGGGAGTTGTAGGGCACACGTCACAGAGAGGGTCACACCTGAGTGTAACAGCAGTACCATTTCTTTATCACACACCTTCCCCTCCTTGATGATCATGTTGCTCTTCCCAGCCTCTCTTTTCTTCCCCTCTCAAAATATGTCCTTATCCTTGGTAACTAAATGGGAATAGTCTATAGTGAGTGCTTGACTTACCCAGCAAAACTTGCCTGAAGCAATCAAAGTGGGTTGACAGAAAGGATGGGAGTTGTGTTATTTTTAATGCATATGGTTTGGTTCCAAAGGTTTTGTGTAATTCAGACATCAAATTAATTGAATTAAACTGAAGGAGTGAATTAAGAAGCAGGCTCTGTCATAGGGATTTATTCAGCGTGCAGACATTTATTCAGCATGCAGGCATTTATAGATCCAATTTGGATTGCACTCATGTGTTCTAGAGCCCCTGGCGGGCATTTCCTGGACATGTATGTGCTATGCCACAGTACACAACACTGCTGCCATGTCTCTCCCTTTGGTACACGGAGGACTGCATTTTTATGCACTGAGCAGTATTTTTTTAGATGATGAAGTGCCTCCACGTTTTGTAACCTGGCCAAAGGAATGACGCTGGTTAGCCAACCATTCCAATAACATATGCACATTTGAGCACACACAACATTCCTCATGCCTTCCATCTGTGACCACTGACTGGTTTGTTGCATAAACTCATGTTGTAGTGCTCATCAGTGGCTCTTTATACTCTGATGCTTGTCTTCTCCAACTTACCTTTCGAAGTAAGCCTGTTGTTCTGTAAATTGAGTGTTTCTAGTCTGTAGAGACGAGCAAGCTCTTCTGGAAAGATTTCTTCTATCTGGTTATTCTAAGGAAAGGAGTATAGGAACCATCAGCATCAGAGAAGGATCCTAGAACTGAATTTTTGGAAAGTTTGGATCTGGATCTGATTGTCAAAATAGACAATAAAAGGCCAAACGCAGTTCCCAAATCTGACAAACCCAAATTAGCAGAGTTTAGAAACCTGCATAGCCAAGTTCTGCAGCTTGGGACTCTCTCCTCCACCCCCCAGAAATATCTAGATCCTGTACTTCATGAAGAACAGGTTCTAGTAATTCCTATAATTCTTTCAGCCAGAGAGGCAAACTAAGAGTGTTAGCATGTAATTGAATATTTGTGTAACCACTAAAATTTAATGCAGTTACATGACTATTCAATAGTCCCCAGAGGTGGGACGGCAGCCAGTTCACTTCCACCCCATTCCCAGGGAGCCCCCTGGGTGGCAGCAGCTCCTGTCCACAAGGGATGCATGGTGCTGGGGGTAGGGATCCTATGTATGATATTTCAATTAATAATTGATACCAGTGAACTTCTTAGCAGCTGCTGAGTTATACCAGGGAAGAATTAAGCCCACATTTTCCAAAAGGAGAGCAGAATTAAGAATTGTTATACACTGAAGATGCTTATTTGGGGAAACATTTTCCTCTGAGCCACAAAAAGTCTCCTCTCTCATCATTTGCTTTCCATACACAACCAGGTCTCTGGGGAATGACTAATACCAGACAAAGTTCTCCCAAAGTCTGGAATGAAAAAAAAAACAAAAGAAGCAAATATACATTCAATGCAATTAATATTTGCTGCTGACCAAATATCTTACCTCAGAGCTAGAGGGTGAAAGAAGAAAAGGAAAGGAGACCAAGGGAGAATCAAAGAGCCAGAGATGCAAAGTTTTTGGAGCTAGGGGGTAGGGAATCTTTTGGGGACTAGGCAGTGGACTGCCAGAGCACAGTGTGGCCCCAACACAATCATCAGGGCTGCTCTAACTTGTGCTCCCCACTGTCTTAGCCCTCGTGGGCCTTATGGCAGTGAGAAATAGCTGAGTAGGGGTGCCCTCCCACACCTCTTCTCTACTCTTGGCCAGTCCCAGAACGTCCCAGTTCTGAGTCAGATGGACAGGCTCACACCATTCATAGGAGACATGAGACAACATTGAATTGTGCCTGCTGTTTTGGTGAACAATCCTGTTGTGTTTAATTGTACCTGCAAGGAAAGGTGGTTTGTTGACTCCGGTAAATCTATGGGAAATTCTTTCAGATCAATCCCTCCACAATCCACAACTCCTTCCTGGGTGCAGGTGCAGTCTCTAGGGCAGTCTGGAGCCAGGAAATCAGGGTCTGGAGTCTGTAACTTGGATGAATTTTCCAGAAAGTCATTGTCTTCATCATCGTGACCATGGATCATGTTGTAGCTAAATACTAAAAGCCACAGCACCAGCAGGGATCTGCTGCTTGGAAGCATGTCCACTGAAACCAAACAAACATCATGGTAAGATGGGGGTTAGTATTTCTGCAGGCTAAGTAATATTTTGTTTTAAAGCTTAATGCAAACTAAGTGGAAGATAAAAAACCCAATGTGGGGTTGACTGCCACGTAGCAGGCAAGTTAAACAGTTAAAAATGACACCAAATAGCTGTATGGATCTAATTGCCATGCGGGTAACCAAACTAACTTCTCAGCGTCAGTGTTGTCAACCTCACAGAGTCACAAACCCTGAGTCAGCCTCCCAACAATGAAGCGATTGGCAAAAAATCATTAGATTTTTTTGAAATAAAGTTTATATTGTGCTTTTCTCCTTTTCACTCCTAAATTGGTTAAGGTGATTTTGGCTCCCATATCAGGAGCTTTCACCCCAACATCTGCTTGTCCCCCAGCAACTAATTCTGCCCACTAATTCTCCAGCCTCTTCTGCTTCTTCTCCAGCTCTTGGGCTCTTCCACCTCCTTCACTCAGGCCTGGCAAGGGTCTGAAGCAGGATTCCCTTTCTCCCTTTCTAGGCTGGGGCTGAGAGTACTTCTAGGAGTTTTTCACTTCACATTATCCCTTCCCAGTCTGGGACAGAAGGAAAAGACCAGTCCCTTTGCTCACAGGAAGGGAAAAAGGGTCCAGAACTGCCCCAAACACTTGCTACTTCCTTCTTTCCACCTCCAAATTCAGAAAGGTGTTAGGCAGCGAGGAAGAGAGGTAGCGAGAGCTCATCCTGCTTCTTGCAGCAGCCCTGATTTGCTGTCCTTCTCCAGAAGCCAGGAAAGCAGCCAATCAGAGGGGGTTTCCCCCCACCTGGTAAAGCTAAAATTCATAAAGGGCTGAGTTTCTCACATCACCACCAGACTGACTCCAGGCCCAGTTGAAACAGGGAAATTTGGCAGGACTGCAACATATTTCAGTTCGCCAGCCCAGCTGCGCAAACCCTCCACCTGTCTGTATTTTGGCCAGGTGGCACTACGACAATTCACATTTAATGTATTTCTAATAATGGTTTGTCACAGAGTCTATTAGACTTGCCTATTAAAACACACTGATGTACCTGGGTAAAGTAAGAATTCTTCAGCAAGTGCATAAAAGAGGCTAAAGAACCAGGGGTGCAGAATGGGGCTATTAAGAATGCCATCTAAAGAGGAAGCTATGTGCAGTCCACAACAAGGCATTATATTGGGCCTACAAAATATATCCTTGAACA